AAATGCCAGTAAATCACTAAAGGGCTGACCACTTCACTTCCACCTGCGCACACACACCTCCCAATCCGCTCCTCTCCATCTATCCTAATGCTCCTTTCTTCCATCCAGAAATAAGAGCACATTTATGATGTTTGGAAATGTCTCATGGATGTATTAGTCACCTTTCATGATCACGGGCTGTGGACCCCGGCACAAACGAACACAGCTGTGTAGCGTGACAGAGAAGGTCCTCATGTAATGTCTGTATGTATGTGCGTAATTGCATTGCTATATACCTGCCTCTGTTTTTGCAGTCGATAATAGTGTGTCCTCCACAAAAAAGAAAAGTGCAAGTCCAAAACTCATTCGAACTAAGTAAACACATTTTGTCGCCTGAACTTTTAAAGCACGCCACTTCTTGAAAAATAAATCACTGTGATAACATCTGACATTTACAAATCAATCATAAAATGACATTTTCTTTTATCAGATGGTCGGTTTTTAGATGGAGATGGAGTGCGGATTAAGATTTAGATAGGTTTAGTTGGGAGAATTGTGTATTGGATTCTCTTAAGCAATCGATGTGAGTGGCCTCAGATATTGAAAAGGCAAATAATTCGGTCATGTAGCTAAAGCAATCAGTGAATGGACAGGAACACAGTGTAAGGGAAACAGGTCAATTTAGCTCAAAGGGAATCATTTAAAATTTTATAGGGACAATCACTGTTTTACGGCTGATCACTGAGACGGCCAGCGATTCATTGAACGAGCCATATAACATCAACTCTGCAATGGATATTAATTAATATCCAAAGTATAGTGAAAACACTATTAATTAGCACAGTAACAAGATCGGCAGTTTAAGACATTAACTTGTAAGCACAAAACACAAGATACTTCTCTTTTCAATATAAATAAGGCTTTATTGGATAAATCTAAGACATATAAACTAATCTAACACATGAACACACGCATTCACACATTCACACGTTGCAGAAAGTGAGAAAGTAAGGAAAGAATGAGTTTAAGGAAATTAAAATATGAAATCCCAAGTTTACAGCAATGTGCAATTGCATAGACCTGAACAACCATCAATCACTTAATTAACCCTCGCATTGAGTTCCTCAATGAGGTTAAAATTTATATTAAATGCACCATATGATACATTTGACAAAGAATTGATTGGAAGAAACGTTTCAAGCAAGAAGATTCAAACACACACATACTAAACATAAATATGAAGTTATTCAATAGTTATTAAAACGACATACACAATACGTGATTAAAACACTAATATAGTGTTCATACAAACCCTGATTAAGGTAATTAAGTGTAATCTGTATTCGACTAAAAATACCTGTGCATTCAATGTAAAAAAATAAATAAAAAAAAAAGTCAACACGCTGTATCAGTTTGAAATTTAATTTTTAACACAGATGTAACTATTACACCAACACAAAAGAAGGTACAATATATTCACCATCATCTGACCCATATAAACACTGCAGATCAAAAGGCCTGTAGAACAAGCTGTTGGCTTTTGACACCAGGGCTTCCTCGTAGGACAGGTTGAAGATACAGGTTGAATATAGTGAACTTTAAAAAGTTCAAAGGCACTCAAGGAGCTGGTTCCAACGCAAGGGATGAGGCGCTTGTCCACAACGACGTAAAAGTGGTTGATCCTGCCCTTAATCCTTCCTGATCTCAGTAGGAATGGCTGGTGGCCCTCCCTCCTGCTGAGATGGCCTTCATTACTGGTGCAGGACTGAAAAAAAAGCACAAACAAATTAAATTAAATAAACCAGGAAAAAAAAACAAACCAATCATATTTTGCACGTTTTGCACATGCGATTTATCGTGCAGCCCTATTGTCTATGCTTGAAAGTTTCCTTCATCTTTTGCATAACTTCAGCTTCATCAGCTGTATGGACAAGGAAAGAAGTTACCTCTCTGCATGCATCTCCTTCAAGTTGTTGCACATCATCTATCCTTCTTCATCGACTTCGTCCTCCACTTTCAGTCATCTCCAAGCCAACACGCTTTGGGTTCTTCCTCGACAAAGTTTTAAGGCGCCAGGAGATGAACTCTGTTGCCTTTTCCGGAACATAGAAATGCTCCTGTCAGAAAGACAAGAGAACACTTTTTGTAAGATCTGAACATTGCGTTAGTCATTACATTACATTTAATAGATAAACTACTATTACATGCCACAAAAAAGGAGCACAAAACTTAATGTCCAACTAGATTGTGTTAAAAGTACATCAATACAAAAGATTCTTACATAGCCCGGCACGTCAAACACGTGTCTCATATGATGAGCAAATATTAGTTCATAGTCATACGCTGGCAGAAAATATACGTTAAGCAAAACGCTTCTTGCTTGATTATCTGATAATTTATCTCCGCTGCCTTTTACTTTGCAGATGAGAGTAACCGCGATATATTTCATGTAAATTCCTCGGACCATCCGAAGCTCTGCGTTCCAAGGCCCACTTAAAAAAAAAACGCGCGTTACTGATTGCTGCTCACTTAAACAGTCAGAGATTATTTGTGGAACAATGCACAGTTATACTAAAATACTGGAGACAAAAATGCATTACAATGTCTTATTTTGGCAACACAAATAACGTGAGCCCCAAGAAGGGGATATGGATGCTGCGTTATTTGCGTTATTTAATTAATTAAACAGTCAAGTTACACAAATCACAGAAATTACCCTGTTATCTACCCCAGATTCTAAAATATAAGAAAACTTATGTTTAAAACTGCTAACTAACAAACAATGCCATTCTTACCTCAATTTGCTTGCTAACAAGTGGTGCAGCTAAATGGCCTCAATATCCTGTCCATGGTCTGTCACGTTATCTGAAAAGAAATACTGTTAGCACTCTGGCAATGTTGAGAGATGTACTAATATTATTCTGAATGGTGAGAAACGTAAACTAAACATGAAAATTGGTCAATTTAAGTGGTTATAAAATATTATACCTGTTTGAACACTGTCCTCTCCTCGTGGTCGTCCGCCATTAATCAAAAAGGAAATAATGTGCAAGGACTGGAAATTGGATCAACTAATCACCAGTGTCAGTTATGTCAACTCGCTGTAATTACACTGACTCCGACCACTGATTTACACTGCAAGTGTTAATGCCATTCAAATCAACACCAGAATCAACACTTTTTAACTCTGATAAATTAACACCATAAAAACAACTCTAAACAACACTGGTTATTTTGCTGTGTGTGTCTTGGGCCTTTCTGTGGAATTCGGCTCCTCGTGTTTCAACCATGTTCTTGATCGAATCTTAAATTGTCTGATTCGGTCTGATACCCTACAACAGGATCTTATTTGTGGGGTTGACTGCAACAGCTGAGAAATCAAATGCATTTTATATAACACACTGTGGTTATTGTACAGCTTACGTAAGGAAGGACAGGGAGAAATGTTAATGCACTGATTTCAAACACTATCTAGTTGTGTATTGGCACATGTTATGTAATGTAAGGAATTAGCCATCACTGACTTTCATTCAGTGGCTTTTGGGGTCTTTCATATTTATGTGAGTGAGAAAATGTGGCAATGCGTGTGTGTGTGTGTGTGTGTGTGTTTGGTCTAACCTTGCGATCCATGATGTACATGCACCATTGTAAAAAAAAAAAGAAATGTTTGTAAAAACCTAAAAAATAAAGGCAACAGTTTGCATGACTTAATTTAATTTAATTTACATTAATCTATTTTGAAATACATTTTATGTAAATGTCTTAATTGTATTTAAAATGTCAAGTTGTTATAATGTATGGATTAAAATTTGAATAAAGTAGCTATACAATTTTAATTTGTTAAATTCACTTAATTTGCATGGTTTTAAATTGTTCAATATAACAATATAAGTTGTTAAAACTTGAAAAGTTCTAAAAAGTAAAAACTGCGATGATTAAGTAAATTGTTTTTTTTTTCAGAATTGATTTAATGGATCTAAGATTTTTTAAGTACTTCAGTAGCCCTTTATATTTGAGATGTGTTAGTTGTAATCGGGGTAAATTTTGAGTGAGAGAAGTTTCAATATTGTGCTAACACTGTTCTATTTGCTTAGTGTTTTAGTAATGATATGAATAAATGTTTCACTGGATAATGAGTTTACTTATAATCGTTTTCCATTATGTGGATTATAATATTTCATAATGCAGATAGTATCAAGCGGTTATCTTTGTAAAAGTACTTGTGTTTTTGAGCCTTAGTGTCTTTTAGAATATTTAAGATTAGGGAATGAACTTGAGATATTATGTTTAACGGTGGAAAAAATAAATAAATACAATTCATAAATAAATAAATTTCCACATCGACAAAAACAAATAAGGCATCATAGATGCACATAATTAAGTATCAGAGAATTTCAAGTCTCTGTTCGGCAGTTGGGGAAAATTCATGTTGCTTGTTTTCTAGGAAACCTTGCCAAGTTGTAGAAAATTAATATGCCATGAATATGTAATAAAACTACTTACATGTCAAGCAAAAATTATTTTGATTAGAAGCATTTATTATTCCACAGAAAGTTTACAGAGTAAGGTACACAACTAATTCAAGTTAGATTAGATCAACAGCATAAACACTTGATTAAATTATATGTCAAGTTTATTACAGGCCATAATTTTGTCAAAAAGCTTTTAAACATGGTTCAACAGTAGTTTATTTTTTGTCACCTAGCCCAGAATTCATAGCGTGTTGCTTTTTTCCTTCAAATTTGAAGCCATTTGGTAATTAAAACATTAAGACATTTAAACTGCACTGTAAACTGATGTATGTTGTTTGTTACTCAAGCCACATTTTTCCTGTTATGTTTAATATGACTAAGGCTGTTTTAGGAGACATTAATGGAGAAATCTCTTTAATTGTGATTCACAGTAGTACTATGTCCCATTATAAATATTTTTGAGTATCTTTCAACAGTAGTTTTTGCATGATATTTTACAGGTGTAATAATAATCCAATCTCTAACACCTTTCTTCTTCTTTTCTCACAGATATCCTTCTCTCAGCACAGCAGCATCATGGATCTGGTACAGTTCTTTGTCACATTTTTCAGGTATGTACACTTTTTTCAGGTATGTACATTTAAATTAAATGTTCAGTGTAATTAAACTAAAATTAGTGAATTAAACATTTACTTTCTTTCTCCATTATATGCATTGAATTCTAGTTTTTGGAATTTAGTGAGATAAGTTTGCTGAGGATGCAAGGATGCATTAACCTCACCATCCAAAGCCACTAATGAAGGCTAGCTGATGAATAAGCACAATAGGTGTAATTGTGTTGGCTGTGATGAAGCCAAACACTACCACTCTTGCTGTCTCTGCAAATAAATGCATTCTATGTTTGTAAAGGACACATTCATGCATTTAGAAGCAGCTATATGGTTTCGAGGAATGTTTGTTGAAGAAATGTATTATATTGTAACAATTGCAATTGCCTTTTTTTAATGATTAAAATACTTTCTTATACAATTGGAGAAATAGTTAACACAAAATGTTCTCATGTCGTTCCAAACCTGTATTACTTACAATATACAGTTTTAATATTTTTTTGAGACTTAATTTGTGCATAAATCCATTAGAACCATACTGGGTATGTTTGGGGTCAGTAAGATTTATTTATTTGTGTGTTTTTAAGAATTTGATACCTTCATTCAGTAAGGACGCATTATTGATCAGAGATTACAGTCAAAACATTTATAATTTTAGAAAAGATTTATATTTCAAATAAATGCTGTTCTTCAAAATTAAACACCTCCCCTTTAAGCAGCACAGCCATTTTCAACTAATCAGACAGAATGTTTCTTGAGCACCAAATCAAGTCATATTTAGTCAAATCATCAAACCATATTTTAATGTTTTATTCAAACATTCAGGACCATGTGGCTGTTTTGCAATTACAGGAAAGAATACAAATGTAGATAATAAAAAATAAAATATATTCAAATTGAAAACTGTATATATACTTATATGTATATATATACTTACAGTGAACCTAAGAAGCCTATTAAACTGGCATGCAACAAGTTCTGTACAGTTTATGTTACAGACATAAAATGTATACAATTATACCATAAATTATACCTCAAATTGTTGGATGATTAAATATTAGGGCTTTTGTTTTAGCATGTTAATTTAATTAATTACTTATGGGTGACCATACACTGCTTTTTAATTTTTCTCTTGAACAACAGCCAGAACTGACATGAAGGTAATCCACTATGGTTTAGTCATGCCATTTTTTTATTATAAGAGTATTTAATCATTTTACTTTATTTGATACACAAATATATAGGTTTTATTAATGGATTGTGCTGGAAAATGCACTACAACACTGTGACTTTGACATTGGCAATTTATGTTGTATGTATCCATATACAGTATGTGTGCAGTAATTTCAAGCGGATATGATTGTGTGAGTGTGTCTATCCCGACATTCACAAAGGTTAAGGTCATGGCAACAGGGATTCAATGTTTGCTATACAGATTCTTGCACTTATTATTTAGTATGAATAGCAGGAGATTTTTGTGTTGTTGTTTTGCATTTGTGGGCATGCGAGTGTGTTGATAGATATCAAAGTTGAAGCTAGAGGCTGTAGGGCTTTGTTGTTTGGTGTGCATTTAGTCCTCTGCAGGCGAGGGACACGTCTGATGTAATTCATCATGGTATTTGAGGGAGATTGGTGTGTATACTTTGTATCCCTCCCCTTTTATATCTCTTTCTCTTTTTGTCTCGCTCCTCTCATATCTTCTGGCTGTGGATTCACAGTTCTGGTTTTCTGTTGAGAGTATAATTGTAGTTCAAGCCAAGCCCTTCAAAGCCAAAGTTCAGTCAAATGCTTGACTGTTTTACAATGCCAAAACAGACATCAAGCTCTATGGAAAATATTATATTGTGGTAAATTAAGTGTGCTGCATTGGCACACTTTAGTTATTTTAATTACACGGATGAATAATGGTGTTTGTTTGTTAAACAGCAGTAAGGAGCATTGAGTATTGATTTGGAGCTCTGTCACTTTGTGTCTGAGGCTTGGCTGACAGATTGTCTATGATTTTGTAGTTTTTCCGGGAAAATAAATGAGAAAGTTCAAAATGTCCATATATGTTGAATTTCAAAAGAAAGAATGAAAGAGAGTAAAAATTATATATATATATATATATTGTGTATATACAGTATATATATATATATATATATATATATATAAAAACACGTTATGTCTGTTTCACTCATACTGGACGCCAGAGGACACCCTCGTGCAGAAAATTCAAGAGATAAGTTAATTTAAAATATTAATAATAATTCACAGTATTATTATTTATATTGTATTTTGATTAAATAAGTGTAGCCTTGGTCAGAATAAGAAACAAATCTTGAGGACCACAGACTTTTAAACAGTAGTGTATATTTCTGTCTGGTTTATCTGTACTTACACTTGCAAGTCACTGTAATTGTAAAGCAGATTGTATTTGGCTTAAATTTTAACTTGGGACATATTAAGAAGATGTGATGTTTACAAATCTAGTCTTGCGTGACATGGTGCGTAGAGAGTTACATTTTAGGTGGCAGTGTTTAGTAGGGTTGGGTATCGTTTAGGTTTTTTCCGATACCGGTGCCAAATCGATACTTTTAAAACGCTTCCGGTGCCTGAACCAATACTTAAAAAAAAAAGTAAAAATTACCCAAAATAGGATGGATTGGCCATTATTGAGCGCTATAAACACCTTTAATGTCTGTTTCATTCATACTGGACGCCAGAGGGCGCCCTCGTGCAGAAACTCCACATATGCATCACAGAAGTAATAGAACTCATGACGCTCCAGGAAATCCCTAATATGGATAAAGATATGTATATAGGTAGATTCATAGATATGTATACATAGATGCCTCATTAGCGACTGTTTCCATGGGCCGCTATACGTAAGCCATCCGCCATATGCGAAGGGTCAACTTGACGTCATTCACCATAACAGCCGATGGTCTGCGAACCCTCAAGTACGGTGGCCAAGAGAGCTCGACGTGTTGTTGTGTAGACCTAACTAACACCATACAACAAGATGAGCGCTTTAGCTAACACAACATTAAAAGTTACCAATGTTTCAAAACTTGTAATATTGAGTTAATACATTTATAAACACAAACGTTTCTTTGGAAATTTACATCCCGGCTGTTTTTACTAGGGGTGCTCCGATCAGGATTTTTGAGGCCGATCACCGATTACAGAAAGCAGTATCTGCCGATTCCGATCACCGATACTGATCTTTTTAAAGCCTTCATTTTATCATTTAATCTATTTATAGTGATAGTCCAATCAGGATTTTTAGACATTTATTCAGGGCCTGAATTTCATTTTTGAAAATGGGGGGAATTCCCCTCTTAGGTGACTCTTGTGAGAGGGGAAGCAGCTTTCACACAGGATCCGTTACTGATCCGCTACTGATCCGTGGCTGTTTACCACAAACACAACATAATTCATTATTTTGATTTCAAATCCAAACATTGTCACTGAAAGTGCTTTTTCAGCATTGCAATTCTTTTTTTTACACAGTACAGTAATACAATCTTTCAAAGACATGTTTAAACACAATAAATATAAGCAACACATTATTCAATGCTTTTTACTTTTGCATTTACTTCTAGATTGATATATTACGTTGCTCAAGCAAGTGGCAAAACATTTAAACTAATTTTCTTACGTTATCACAAACTTACCATTGACAGAAATAGTCAGCTCTACTGCCTTTCCTTTTGCATTTAAATATTTATTACATGCAATCCTGCTGTTCATAAAGAACTTTGTTTTCCTTCCTCCACGTGTGCCATCTATTATTGCCTTCTTTATCTAAAAGTGCTCTTTCCCTTTAAACCTAGCCAAAAAACCATATGTGTTGACTGTGAAACACAGTAGACTTTAATAATATGCATTTATGGTGTAACTACTACATTTTCGTGTCAATCCATGTTCATATTTACTGCAAACAATGCGCTGTTACTTTAATTCAGCGCTTGCAGCGCAGCAGTAGACTCGGTGTGGAAACGATCTCTGCACTGCTGCAGACGCACCGCTCCTGGAACGTACTGCTGGACCGCAACCGTGTGCAGTGAACGCTTATCCGTTAACATGAGCGTGGAAAAAATACGCACCACATATGCACTGCAAACGGAGTAATGTGAACCTGGCATTATGTGTGTGCGCTGCGAGTGTGCATGAGCGTATGGTCTCCAGGAGCACTGGCAAGAATTAAAAAGAGATGCAATTTATAAAGTTTAGTGACGATGTGACACTGCCTCGACTGTGCAAGTGACAATTCCTGTGTCAACTGTGCAGGGTGCAGCTGGCTTATAGACAGACGCGATGTGTGGTGATTTGAAGCCATTTGCATATTTTGAGAGAGAAAGAGAGAGCACGCGTGCGAGTGGTGATTCACTCACGCTGTTTGTGAAATTACGTCTCACACAAGGTTTTCAAATTACTTTATAAGTTATTTAATGAAGAAATAGATCGGCCTTTTAGAGACCGCCGATCGATCATCCCAACGTGATTATCGGCCGATAGTGATTGGTAGCCGATCAATCGGAGCATCCTTAGTTTTTACAACCAACGGCTGTGCAGGATTGTGGCATCTTCGAATATTCATTGATTAATATGGTGAATGACGCCAAGTTGAACGTTAAAGATGGCGGACGCGTCTACATGCTTGGCGCAGTCGAATGGGGAATATACCTATACATATCTATGCAGGGCTCAAATTAACTTTTTTACTTGGTAGCACTGGTGCTCCCAACATCAAGAAGTTAGGATCACCAACAAAAATTTAGGAGCACCCACTGAATATTAAGGAGCATCACAACTGTCAATAGAGCGGAAGGGCTGGCAACATCCTGATGATTAAAAGCTTCAACAATTGAACCTGATCCTGAATTCTTTGCCACACACTTGGCCCGGCATTTCTTGTTTGTGATGCATCGATCTTTCATGGACAATTCTGATTGCTAATGTTTTAGAAGCGAGTAAGCTGATTCTGATAGCCGACATATTTAACATATTTTTTTTAA